CACAGCTACCACTATCAACGGCCCTGATTGGGATCACAATAGAAGGTACTGGGCAATGGAAAACAAAAATCAAAATCATACCAAAGACCAAATTTAGTGGTCTGAAAGAGACTAGTAGAATCCCTGAGACTTTGACCCTTAGACACCCTTCAAACCTGGAACTGAATCCATTCCGGTAGATCAACTTTCAGCCTATAAAGTGAACAGTAACACCAGTGAGGAATGTGCTCCTCAGAACAATCAGCCATAGGAGACCAAAAGGGCAGCATCTGCCTAAGGACAAACTTCAAAATGCAGGAAGGGACAGGAAATAAGGTGTGGGTCACATTATGACAGCTACAAGATTTTCATCTTGCCTATGTTACCTGCCTTTCGGAAGGGTACATAAAGTATTCCACGTAGTATTTTTATTTGTCTTAAGACTGCCTTTTTTTATGTATATGTGAACATTTTATTATGATTTCAGTGAAACTTCAGAACAAAGTGATTTTCCATTCAACAATTTATGCACATTTTCTTTCATAACATTAGTTGCACCCCCTCAAAGTAACAGCGTTCTTCTTGCTTCCTCCCTGGATTCCCCATTTCCAACTGCCTACAAAACAGAATTTGGGAAAATTGTGGCTATTCGCAAGAATGTATATACAGGTTAGGTGGCGTCACGAAGAGCCCCACCTTCCACCAAGCTCCTCTAGAACTTGTCAGAAATAGCTAGCTGGCCATTGGTAGACTGGTGTTTCCCCACCCCATCTCTGTCTCTTCCCTCTTTGTCCAGAACACTGGGAGAATGATGGTGGGGGCAGAGACAGAAGATAGGAAAAAGTGAAAAAACAAAAAAAAGAATGGTTATGTACCCTAAAGAGAAGGGGACCCAGTGTTCAAAGTGCAAGTGAATAAGATGGAAATGTTTTATACCTTGATCTGAGTAATGAGTACAAGATTGTATGCAAATGTGAAAATTCACTGAGCTGTGTATTTAAGACATGTACACTTTACTATATGTTACCTGTATCACCATTAAAAAAAGCAAACTTATACACAAAGAATATATATACTTAATAGTAAGTGTGGTCACTTACTAAGATATTGATTATAATTTTTTATGTTAATCTAGAACCATATTTTATAATTGAGAAGAATTCCCACATACTTGTAGAGAGAGTCAAGGCCCCCTGGTCTTTCTAGTTGCATAAAGTTGTGTCGCAAGTTGAGGTAGGTGATATCTTGACTGTAGAAGAGATGTTCAGGAACCTCCTCAAGGCTGTAGCATGAGAGATCAACTGTACTGATTCGCTGGGACACCACCTGAATAAAATCAAAGAAGACAGTCGTCCAAGCAAGAGCAGAATATCTTTCACCCAGCATGTTGTTGTTGTTAAGTTGGTAAGCACCGTGGAGTCAGTTCTAATTCGTAATGACCCTGCACAGGGTTTCCAAGGCTGTAAATCTTTACAGGAGCAGAATGCCTCATTTTTCTCCCGTGGAACCACTGGTAGTTTTGAACTGCTGACCCTGAGGTTAGCAGCCCAACTCGTAACCACTATGCTACTAGCATAGAAAAGGAAAAAAAAAGGCAATGAGATATAGTTATTCATTTTTAAAAGCAGCTAATTTTCTCTTGACCCAATCTCTGAATAATTTGTGTAGAAACTGTCAAGTAGAAACCTAATTTACTGTGTAAAGTTTCACCAAAAATACATTATAAAAAATCAAAACAAGCGAGAAGAGCAGAGAGTGGGACCCTACCCAGAGAAGCAGTGATGCCTGAAATGGAGGCAGAGATGATGACATGGAGCGATGGAGCAGCTGGAGACTTTAGCTCCAGAGAGGGAGAGCGACTGTGTGCTGAAGACCTGGAGGGTAC